ATGACCTGTGTAAAAATTGTAGATCTTGACCGTGCGTATCCGATGCCGTTTACCGCTTGTCGCTATCTTGCTTCGTTCTCGAGATCTCAGGGGGGGGGGGTGGTCATTCGCCCCCCCCCCCCCCCGTCGGTGCGAAGTTGGCGCAGACCCCCGTCGGTGCGCGGGTTAAGCACCATCATGTCGTGATTTATTGACAGAAAAACGATTTATGACGTCACATGACCTCAGATGACCTTTGCCGGTGCCCCTGTCAATTAGCGGCACCAGGATCATCACCGATGAGATAATCTTCCATAATACTAAAAGAATTGGGTGGTTTTGACTCGTTTACACGAAGCAGGAGGCGTTTCAATATTTTCCCATAGGCTTGCAATGTAAAGGTCACGAGTCTAGCCTGACCTCAGGTCACAGATATGAAAATTCTGAGATATACAAATTGCACATACTGGTACCCTAACTAAAACCTGAAGAGAAGAAATTGATCGGTCAAAAACTCTAGCTCTGGCGTGATTGCAAACTTTTCTGAGGTGAGGTCACCAAACCGCCTCTGGTGACCTGACCTGACCTGACCCGGCAAATTCTTGGAGCGCTGACCGCCAGCGCGGATGGTTCAGGTCTGCCGAGATGGAAATGGGCGTGTCACCTTAGAGCGGCAACAATGTTTGCAGGACGGCGGTGTGGTCAGTCATGGTCAACTGTATCTCTGGACAAAAAAAAACTGCCCTCTGGAAAGGTGGAAACCCTATGGGCTGACCCATCGATCGCTTTGGCTGCATATCCGTAGCGGGACAGTTTTATACCGGCGCCTTGTCAGCCGCCGCAGCTCACCGGTCACTGGTAGACTCACCCAAATGCTTCCTCCGCATGATCCTCTCATCTCACGACTCTGACATGGCTTGCTAGCCTACTCACAATCCATCCACAGAAGAAAAAAAAACGTTAAGACCTTAACACTCGCACCGACGGGGGTCTGCGCCAACTTCGTACCGACGGGGGGGGGGGGGGCGCATGCTTCCTCCGCATGATCCTCTCACTCACGACTCTGACATGGCTTGCTAGCCTACTCACCCTCCATTCACAGAAAAAAACGTTTAGGCCTTAAAACCACGGCCTTGGCGTATTTTGTGTTCCATTAATTCACTGATGAGATAAATTGACCATTGTCTAGCTTGGCTGCAAGCTGCCGACGTAAAATGCAATATGACAAAACAGAATGCCCTTTATCGATATTAAATGCCCCTGCCGTTGATCAATGACCCTCGTCGAATATAAACCCGCGCGGGGCTGGGGGGGGGGGGGGGGGTAAATCCCCCTCCTCGCGAATTTTTGAAATGTCTCAAAAACGGCGGCGCGCAGCACCGCCAAACTTTCAGTACCTTTTCTTACATCAATTTGACACGTTCCCTGAAAACTTGAGCGAAATCCGTCGGAATTTTTTTTTTTGAGAAATTGACGTTTTAGTGACGTCATGTTCGCCATTTTCGCCTCAAAAACGGCAAAATTTCAAACGCCGCTAACATCTTCATTTTTAAAGGAATCAAGACGTAACAAAAAAGTTATACGTAATTCTACTTTGTCTATCAAATGGCCATCTCGGTTTTTTGAAAGTTTTGGATTTTGGCCCATTTTTTTTCAAAAAACTGACTTTTTTGGGAAAATAATTATAAACTCCAAAATTTTGAGTGTATCGAAAAAACCGGAATATATGTCAGAGAAGTGGTCTATGTGCACCTACATACCAATTTTTAGAAGAATCGGTTGAAAAATGTGGGAGTTATAAAAAATTTTATGACGTAACGACACACAAAAATTTTGAAAAATGCTTCTTTGGAAGTTTTAGACTTCGTACGGAAACAAAAATAGCATCTTTCGATTCGCCGTGAAAAACCCTGGCGGGCCTGTGGTGCCCCCGAGCCCCAAGGAGGGGGTCATGACCCATGTGACCCCCCCCCCCCCCCTTGGATCCGCCACTGCCTCTAACTGACCTCAGGTCAGTGACCTCAAAAAACCCGAACTATATGTTATACACCTTTTTTCGATCCGAATCGGCATCTGGTCAGTTAGTTTCGGCAGATCTGCATTAGGAACGTCAGCTGGAGTGCGCTTTCGACAAACCACGCCTCAAACTCGGCATAGTGCAGCAGCGTGACATGGGGCATTTAATGTCGACAATGAGCGTGATTTCGACACTGGCCAATGGATTTCGGCACACGGCATAGGACTGTGACATCGGGCATTGGAAAAAGGCAAATTTCATTTTACAATGACAATGGTCATGCAGTTTCGTTGGTGGTATAACAAGTTAAATCGAACAAATTTCAAACCATATTTTTTATATTGATGCGTTTTCAATGCTCACCACTAGAATTTATAGCATTTTTCCTTTTCTTAGAATTCCCTTGGATTAATGGAACACAAAATACGCCAAGGCCGTGGTTTTAAGATCTAAACGTTTTTTTTTCCTGTGAATGGAGGGTGAGTAGGCTAGCAAGCCATGTCAGAGTCGTGAGATGAGAGGATCATGCGGAGGAAGCATTTGGGTGAGTCTACCAGTGACCGGTGAGCTGCGGCGGCTGACAAGGCGTCGGTATACAACTGTCCCGCTACGGATATGCAGCCAAAGCGATCGATGGGTCAGCCCGTAGGGTTTCCACCTTTCCAGAGGGCAGTTTTTTGTCCGGAAATACAGTTGACCATGACTGACCACACCGCCGTCCTGCAAACATTGTTGCCGGTCTCCGGTGACACGCCCATTCCCATCTCGGCAGACCTGAACCATCCGCGCTGGCGGCCAGCGCCACTCACAATGTGTCGACAGATCGACACAAATGAAAAAATCAATATTTTTGTTTTTCATGCAAGAACTACGGCTAAAACATTGTCAACTTTAGATGCGTTGAAAGGAGCGAGGCCCCGAATGACCCACGTCAACCTTCGGATTCGCCAGTGCTTCCGCATTGTCACAGAGTGACGCAAGGATGGTGACCTCGAATGAGGTCAGCTTGTGTGCCGGAGGCGTGTGATGTTAGGGACGAACCGGTGTTAAGGTTCCAGAGCGACTGACGAAATTAGGTGCCCGTTGCCGTATTCCAATGAACGGTTGCCGATTCGGATTGAAAAAGGTGTGGTTTCTTAGCAACCAAGCGCCCATATTGAGTGTCTCTTTACAGTACCGTGGAACATTTTAACGCACATTCTTAAAATGCCTTTCCGAAAAGATAAGAGTTGCTTAATTCACTGATGAGATAAATTGACCATTGTCTAGCTTGGCTGCAAGCTGCCGACGTAAAATGCAATATGACAAAACAGAATGCCCTTTGTCGATATTAAATGCCCCCGCCGTTGTTCAATGACCCTGGTCGAATATCAACAGATGCTAGTCTAAATCCGTGAAACGTGTCGAAATGCGTGCTCCAGTGTCGAGTTGTTGGAGTGCCTGTCGAGATAAGGTGCCCGCTGCCGTATTTGAATGAACGGATGCCGATTCGGATTGAAAAAAGGTGTACAACTCGGTGAACTTAGCACACCCTGAAAGTTTGAAGGATATCAGTCAAGAACTGTGAGTTGGACAGGTGCAAACAGAAAATTGAAATTTGACCATGACCTTGTACCGGTTTTTCTGACCTGGTGACCTGACCCAAGGTCACCCGGACCTGAAATTTTCAGGTCATATGTGAAAAGGTTGCCCCATAGGCTGTGCCAAATTTTTCGGCGCTGCGCGCCGCCGTTTTTACGCTATCTTCGAAAAACCTAAGGGGGGGTCGCATCGACCCCCCCCCCCTGCCAGGGCGAGGGTTAACGCACATTCTTAAAACGCCTTTCCGAAAAAATAAGAGTTGCTTAATTCACTGATGAGATAAATTGGCCATTGTCTAGCTTGGCTGCAAGCTGCCGACATAAAATGTAATATGACAAAACATAATGCCCTTAATCGATATTAAATGCCCCTGCCGTTGTTCAATGACCCTGGTCGAATATCAAGAGATGCTATTCTAAATCAGCGAAAAGTGTCGAAATTCGTGCTCCAGTGTCGAGTTGTTGAAGTGCCTGTCAAGACAAGGTGCCCACTGCCGTCTTTGAATGAACGGATGCCGATTCGGATTGAAAAAAGGTGTAGAAAACAGTTTCAGGGGAAGGCTCAAATTGTGACTGCTTCAAGGGGGTGCGGTGCACCATGTCAGAAAAGCACCCCAAAATTCAATTTCAAGGTATTGACGTTATGACGTAAATAATTTACGGAACTATGACTTGCCTTCCGCAAAATGTAATGGAATGCATGGCATGTAGATGTAGGTAGGTAGGTAGTGTTGTAAAGTAAAGGGGTCTTTGCTCCAAATTTTGTGGGTGCAGAATACATTATCTGCAGCCATTGGAGGTTACTATCTTTCTAGTTGAGGTTTATTTGCCATTGGGTCTACAGTGCAGGGACATTTCTATCTCGCACTCCTCTGAGATGCATAGATAAGAATTTGTTATCTCTGCATCCCTCTGAGATGCAAAGATAAGGTCTCGAGGGTTCATAGCCAAAAATCAAGAGTTCAAGTGATGATGGGTCAATAACCGAAGGACATTTTTAATGGTTGTTTATGGATGAAACGCATGAAATAAGAACAAGCTACTCTGAATCTATTTTTACATAGATGAATACATTTAAATATAATATTTAATTAATTAAGAATAAACCTCAACATAGAAAGATATAGGATTCCTCATGGCTCACTCGTGGAAGATCGGATATCTTTTCCTCGCGTGTTACAGAAAAACCTCGCTCCTTCGTCGCTCGGTTTTTCAGTAACCCGCTTGGAAAAGATATCCTTATCTTCCACTCGGAGCCATGAAGAATCCTCTATGTGGGTGCATCTGCACCTACTACAGGCATGGCTCCTATGCTTTTGAGCATTTACCTGTCAACGATTGAAATTTTGCGAACGATTTTGTTATGATACCAGGAAAATACTGCTACTTTATTTTAGTGGTCACAGCCTAGTAGTCTCCTTTGCTACGTTTCCGGCGCGGATGTCAGTGGTTGTGTTTGTCGGCATTTGCGGTGCATGTGTTGTTGTTATGTATTGCGCTGATTTTTCATGATCAATTGGTTGTTTAGTTGAAATTCGACCAAATCAGCTAGGCCAAAATGCAAGCTATCAAATGTGTAGTAGTTGGAGACGGGTAAGCTCTTCTCTTTCTAACCGTAGGCTTGGTTTGTTCGTAAGGTGGGGCTGCGGCATTTGTGGTGGGGTGTGACTAAGCCTTGCATTATGTATTTTGGTTTTATTAATTTGTTTGTTCCTAATGCATTTTCTTTATTTTTCAAGATATAAGGGATTCACGTGTGTCTGATGATTGCTTGGGTTTTAAGATGCCAATCCTTAAGCATGTATAATAGGTAATTTGCTAAAGGTTACGAATCAGTTTGCAACTGAAACATTAATTGCCTTGTGCAGTATCAAATATAGCATGTTTCTCAATAAATATTGAGATACATAAAACGTGACATGAGCTTGAATGGACGTTATCTCACTGAATGGTATTTGTGTCTTGTTCTTGTTTACGCTAGACTGAATGGTATTTGTGTCTTGTTCTTGTTTACGCTAGACCTGGGAGGACCGTGCCGCCATCTACCTGCGGCACGTTAAACTTTCAATCCAAATTATCACCATTGAACCGGGCGCGGGCATTGGGCAAGGTGGGGTGGTGGGTCCGTGGTGTCATTCATAACAAGCACTGCCTAGCGGGGCACCCGGGCCCATAGCCACCCATTCATCCATTCGGACAAAATTTCTAAAAAAAAAGAACCAGAACACAGGCTTTGGTTATTGTTCTGATTCATTTATAAATAATTAGCAAAAGCCTAACATGCCCTGCATATTCAACTATTGATAATTTAGCTTATAATAGGCACAAGCTTAAATTTAGAATACCTATGTGATATCTTTTCGCGATGGTTTCAAATGACTGGTTATTAAACTTTCATTTTATACTTGGTTCTTACATTGACTTTCTCAGGTTCAGGTTTTCCTCTTTTGCATTCTAAAATTGAGTGAACAAATGTATTCAGTGCCAAACCACTTCTGAAAACAAATAAAGTAGCCAACAATGCCTCAAGTCAGAACAAGATGAATTGTTACATAGCAGCATCAAGTCAAGTAGGCTAGATTTGACTTGTTACCTGCTATAAACACAATAGAATGATGTGTGTAGGACAGGTATATATCATTATGGTGTGGTTGTATGCCCCAATCACTGCATTGTTTTCTCTTTACAGAGCTGTTGGTAAAACATGTCTCCTGATAAGTTATACAACAAATGCCTTCCCTGGGGAGTATATCCCTACTGTGTAAGTTCTTGTTTTTTTTTTGTTATATAGCTTGAAAAGCTAGTTTTACTCTCTGGACAGATTGTAGACTTCATAAATGCATTAAAAATAAATTTTTGGTATATAGTGTGAATGACACAGTTGTCAATGATCAAAGAAAGAAGAAAAGAAAAAGTAATAAAAGAAAGATGGATATGGACTGCATATTATCAATGAAGCCCCTTACATTTGGTTGTTTAGTATGCTCTTTGGTCAAAGTTTTATATGCCATGGCTGTCCTGTTACTCTAATGCCTTGCACTGTTTTATAAATCATACAAAGGGCATGCCCAATTGACTTGCTTATCGATTGCATTATTTCTCTAGGCCCCTGCTCTGCACCACGCCCTGTCTCCTGTTTTCTACCCATGCCCACTCCCCCATTCAAGCCACTGACGGCCACCCTTCCGTCCATCAGGTTCGACAACTACTCTGCCAATGTGATGGTAGACGGCAAGCCCATCAACCTCGGTCTGTGGGATACGGCCGGCCAGGAGGACTACGACCGTCTGAGGCCGCTCTCCTACCCGCAGACCGATGTGTTCTTAATCTGCTTCTCACTTGTAAACCCGGCCTCGTTTGAGAACGTGCGAGCCAAGGTGGGTGTCCGGCTCGGCATCGTGCAAGAACGAGCGAACGAACGTGTTAAGATTCTGGGCGGCGGAGCTGCTGAGTTATGCTGCTGCTGTTGCTGCTGGGAGGGCTCCCGTTACAGGCGGGGATGGGTTATGTCCCCTACCTGCAGAGGCCATGCAATGTTTAAAAACCAACACACAATGGTCATTGACACTTATCCAGTGTAAGCTCCAGTTGGAAGCTTCATTACTGAACAATGGATTGCAGGGTCGTTTACCAAAATTAATTCAAGCCTGCAAAGCACAACTCTGCCTCCCAACCCCTTACCATTGACCTACCAACCGTGCCGCCAAACACCGTCACTTTGCGCGTAACTCCGTACTTTCCAAACAGCTCTCTCAGCTCTCCCACTCCTTATGACACTGTGGGGTGACGGTGAGCGGCAAAAAAGGGTGGGCATCCTACCGCCTACACACTGAGAGCGCTCAGTGTGATCGTTACGCACGTCTGTTCGTTCACAGTGGTACCCGGAGGTCCGACACCACTGTCCGAACACGCCCATCATTCTGGTGGGCACCAAGCTGGACCTGCGTGAGGACAAGGACACCATTGAGAAGCTGAAGGAGAAGAAGCTGGCGCCCATCACCTATCCGCAGGTATGTGAGACGCTGAGCGGGACAGGGTGAGGAAGGAGAGGGTAACGTCTAGTGATGTCAATTACGGAAAATCGGAATACCGATACCAAACCAAAATACCAACAAAAACCACGGGAAAATACCGAAACCAAACCAACTTGGGAAACTGAAGGAAATACCGACTTTTTACCGATTTATTAGCCTCTTATACATTAGTGAGGGCTTATGATACCAACAAAATACCAAACACATTTCGATTGAAATACCAAATACCAAGTTGGTATCGGTTTGGTATCAATATACCAAAAAGTTGGTATCCGATTGACATCTCTAGTAACGTCTGACAACTGCAGGAAAGACTTGTGTGGAAATGTGTGTGTGTGGATGGCGTGGGGGGGGGGGCATGCGGAAGGGGACGGACAGTGTGTGTGCGGCTGCAGGACAGGATGCGGATGGAAGGGGGGTGCGGAAGGGGGGGGGGTAGAAGGAGGGACCATTGTGAGTTATTGGCGTGGATGTGTAAATACGGTATGTGTGTGACATATTTCGGTCATTATTTTTGCTTGTAGTTTGCTAATGTTCTGTTGATGGATGCTGATGAATCTGAAACCTGACAAGGCAACCAGGGAGTTATTATATTGGGTAGGCATTAAGTATTTATTTCAAAATATGTAACGATGGATCGCGTACTCCATTCACTGCTGGTTTCAGTGTGCAGCTCATATCGCTTTGAAGATGCTAAGAGCGGAACACATGGGGGTCGACCGTTGCTACTAGAACCGACGTCTCGCCCAAAGCCTCGAAAGTGCGGGACATTTTTCACTTCATTCTCGTCTACATCGGCAAAAAGGCGCCTATTGAACTACGGATGTCTCAATGAAAAGCTTTTTCTCACCACGTATGCCTCAATGGAAAGCTATTTCTAGGCGCACTATTACGCCCTGTGCTCCGCAGAAGCTTGTGCTGTTACTCAACAACCGGTTCGGATTTAGCCGAGTCCGTACTAAGCCGTTCGCAAACAGTTCATCGTTGGCCGGATGGTCATTGCCGAAACGGCCACGTAACCGACAAGCCATCTTCAGGACCGTAGCTCAAGGACGAGTCACTATCGGTGGCTTATTATCGAACGATTGTGAACTCTTATCGCCCTCAGCGACCGAAGCCGGGACACTTCTGTCGTTACCGAGCGCACGCTAACAAATGCGTGAGCCTCGCTACTTGAGGATCGGCATACAGCTGATTTTTGCGTGTTTGTATTGTCAACTGGAAACTGCGGCGGATACAGTCGTCGGCAGTCGTCGGATCGTAGCAATGCGACGTGTGTGAAATGTCGTGGTCGCGTTACACACGCTAACCACCAAATTAATATCTGGGCCGCGCAGCGACAAGAGGAAATTGTCGGTCGATAACTTGTCGATTGTAAGCCTAAAGCCAGTCATTCAACATTTTTTTAACTTTTCGGCAATAAGACAAATACGTTTCACATATTCTGCCACACTTATTAGTAGCTGAAAGTTCAACTCAGTGTGAAGGTATCCACTTTTACGTTAAATCGAGATAAGCTGATATGGTCAGGTGCTCTGAACATGATCGGGGCACGCGTAGAAACAAACTGAGAAGGGAAGAAAGTAACTAGCACGTTTTGCCACGGCACGAGCTATCTTCATTTTGACTGAAACCGCTATAATTGTGTACCGTGTTGGCGATAAGTTACATCCATATTGTTGAGCATGTGGCCGTTTTTATGCTGCCTTACTTTTTAAGTAAGCTCACAGCAATCAGCTTCAACCACTCTTGATTTTAATTGCAAGCTGTTATCTAGCTTGATATGCCTTAGTGCTTCGTGAGCACCGTATGCGGGACTGATAGGTTACATGAAGTATCATCTAATCACGTTTGTTTTCTTCATATCGCGTGACGTCGCTGGACACTCGCCGTAGCTTTGACATTGGGCCCGCACTCGCTTGGGAGGGTCACTGTGAGACTCGCACCGCAAAATGGCGCCAGCTGCCTCCCCCCCATAATCAGTGACCGTGGTCTAGTGGTTAGTTACTGGCGGACCCTCGGCCACGGGGGGGGGGGGGTGATAGCGCCGTTTGTTCGCGATATTCCCGTGGTATAGTGAGGGGCAGCGGGGGGGGGGGGGAGGTGTCAGTCGGAGCCAACGCATGCACCTGGCTCCTCCCTCTCCCTCTCCCTTCCCTCTCTCTCCCTTCCCCCCCCCTCTCTCTCTCTCTCTCTCTCTCTCTCTCTCTCTCTCTCTCTCTCTCTCTCTCTCTCTCTCTCTCTCTCTCTCCCTCTCTCGCGTGTAGTCTGCAGTCTGCCCTATCCATCAGCCCCCCACAAAGCGACGTCAGTGCGTCAGCCTCGGTCTGTTATTTGGCGCGACCGATACGGCCCGGGTCCCCGTTTTTTTTTGCGTGCCACTTCGCTTATCGTAGGGATCTGCAGCCGCCCAGTCTCGTTCCCGCTCGCACAGACGGGGCCAGTTCTCATCAATACTGAACAGCACGCTTGGTCACTGCGTCAGTGCGTTGTACAGTAGCGGGATGGCACGTGCGGCAGAGGAACTATTGGGGTCGTTGTTTGGGGAGGATCGAGGAAGAGGGATGGCAGGATTCTCGCTCGTTGGTTGTTATAAGACAATCAGCGTGTTCATTTTTTCTTTTGCTCAAAGGCTTATTTGAATAGGGCAGTGAACTTACTGTATTGCATTATCTGTACATGTCTCATCGGTATAATAACTCCTGAATACCTGTGCTTAATGCCGTATTTTTCCTGTTCCTCCAAAAAGTCTATCCGTGTTGCCACGGTTGTTGTCGGCTCTTGGCCACAATCCACCGCCTCTCTCTGCCTCTCTCTCTCTGCTGCCGCTGTCGCCTCTCTCCCATCGTCGGCCGCCGCTGCTGCAGGGTCTCACCATGGCCAAAGAGGTGCGCGCCTCAAAGTACCTCGAGTGCTCGGCGCTCACCCAGAAGGGCCTCAAGAGCGTCTTCGACGAGGCCATCCGGGCCGTGCTGTTCCCACTGCCATTGAAGCGAAAGCGGCGCGCCTGCACCGTGCTATAGGCAGCGCCACTGTAGCCGGCCGACACGACATAGATGGCGCCACGGGTACTGAGCGCATGGTGTGTGTTCTCTGTGTTGGTCCGTCCGAGTGTTCCGCTGACACAGAAGGCATGCCGCTGCGAGATGCACTTGACTGCGACGCACCTCTATAATGTTTTGTGGTATCGGTTTGTCGGTATTTTCTGTTGGTTGTTGCATTTTTACCCCGGATACCGGGTATGATCGTGTTTCTCCTCGCGTCGTCTGACCCTGCACCTAGCCTCGTTGACTGGCCCTACTGCGGCTGTCTCGCGATTGGACTCTGCGCCCTAGCTGTTACCTCGTCACTCATGGCACGTGCACGTCGTCAGACCTAGATGAACACTCACTCAGCTAGTGTGGCTTGTTTCCTGAGGAGGACGGATATTTATAATTTTTCGTTTTCAGATATTTTCTGTCCGTACCCTTTTGCATCTATTTATTTTTGTAATCTTAACAAGACAATGAGTTTGAAGTGTTTGCTTGTAGTGTCTTTCTTTTTGTTGATGCTGACTACACCAATTTTGTTGAAAGCCACTTTTGCGTGGCGCGTTTTCTGAATGACCTTATTTTGATTCCGTGTTGCGCATTTTTCTGTTGTTTGTTGTACTTTGTATTATAGTATGAAGTGTTGACGGTAGCCTCCTTCACAGGGCGTTAAAATTCTGTAGGTTTTGAGTAGGAATCCTGAGTTAGATTATTATTTTACAGTCATTGTCTCGTGTTTCGAAAGCCTCGCCAGAATGTGCTTTGATATCTGATGTACTTGTCCATTACATTGCTGTCATGTGGTGCACATACCTACATGCATACTGTATGCATACTTTTTGTACTATCTTTACATTCCTACTAGCATAGTTTGATCAGCTTATCTTTTTCGTTTTTCTTGATCACATGTTTTATTCATGTTATTTTCAACATACATAGATATGTATGCTTTTATCATTTGTATACAATATCTTTGTATTCTTTTTAGCTGTTTTGTATGAATTCACGTTTACGTTATCCTGCTGTCTGTAGCTAAGCTAAGTGGTAGCTAAGTGTTAGTGTTTTTCAGTTCTTGTGCTCTGTGGATGCCTTCCTAATAGTAGTGATACGTTTTCTATATATTGATCTCTCACATATTTCGTGAATGTTTCTTGGATTTATTATGTATGTTTGGTGTTCAAGCTGTTTCCATTGCTACGAAGGCCCAAACTTCCTCTCTTCGGGCTTTCTTTAGTTTATTTTTCGATGTTTACCGTCACCGTGGATCGGCAGCGACCTCTCACTGGATGACGTCATAATGTCCGCATTTATATCGTCCTTAGTACGTCCCGGTAGCCGATCCTTCGACGGTGGCTGGAGATGATACCCGTTTGTTTACATTGATGTCCTCCGGATGACTCGTATCCGGTTGGGCGTGTGCTATGTCAGTGGTTAGAAACTCGAATCCAACGCTGGTGTGTGAAAATGGAAGATGTTAAAATGCAAAACCAAATATGAAAATCCAGATACCGACTTCACGGCGACTGATGATATTCGTGATCCGACCTATCCTCACGTCTGTCTGCCTTATCGTTCGTGATTATCGTCGGACTCGCCCTCTTAGTTTTCCTTATACTTATATTTTAATTATATATTAAATGACCTGTGACAGCTTTCAAAACTTTCCGTTATCAGTGTGCCATGCCTCCCCTCCCTACCAGGAACCACTCCCGTGACCCCTGGTACTCCACGGTCCCGCATTATCCCCTGTTGCCCTCGCAGGTTCCCCTAACGCCTATCAATATCTGCCCACAGGGTCTGGCCATGGTAAAGGAGATCAACGCTGTCAAGTACCTCGAGTGCTCGGCGCTCACGCAGAAGGGCCTCAAGACGGTGTTCGACGAGGCCATTCGAGCGGTGCTGTGCCCGCAGCCGCACCAGAAAAAGAAGAGGAAACAGTGCAGCCTTCTGTGAGCGCTCGCGGCGGACGCAGCCGAGATGGGCTTTAGCTGACGGACCGTGGAACGGACGGACGGACGGACGGACGGGCGGGTCGACAGACGGACATACTGACGGACTGACGGACGCGCTGTGCCGACACGACCCGTGCCGTCTGCAAGGCGTCCGGTGCCGCGCCGTCCCCCGTTCGCCCCTCCCTCCCCTGACGCGGCGCCGCGGCGGCCGTTGGCAGATTTGATACATGTTTGTTACGCGCTGGGAATGTTGTACGGAGACGGAGAGCTGCCCTGCCCCGCCTGACGCCGCTGTGAGAGCTATGCGCGAGTGGCCGTGAGAGCTTGTTGGCGTGTGTGGCTGAGTAACGCGCTGGTCCGTCGCTGATGCGTGTGTAGCCGTCTGCCTACCGCCTCGCGCGTTTAACACTCTTGGCGTTTGTTAGAGTACGAGTCGGCGTTCTCCCAGTGACGGCAAGCTGATGTGGCCGGCGCGGAGCGTACAGCGTCGCCGTTTCCGTGCAGAACTGGCGCGCCAAGCGCACATGTTGAGCGCGCCGGCGCGGTCGGAGGCGCGGAGCGCCGCGCCACCTGCCGCGGAGGCTCCGCGGGAGCGCTGCCTTCGCCGAGCACTGCGGCTGCCTCTGGCGGCCGGCAGAGACGTTACTAGCACAAACTAGGCGTGAGGGCGCTGGGCTGCCATATACGGACTCGGTGGAACGGGGAAGGGGGGGGGGGCGCTGAGCTGAGAGGTGCTGACGCTGCTAATTCGGCTAACCATATTTTTATCGCGGGCAGGCGCCGACCCGGTTTTGGGCTCGCGCCGCTGATTTGTTCTCGCGCGTGCGTGGCGTCCCCGGCGGCTGCGCGGTATACGGACGACCCGCCGAACGTATTGTGAAGTTTCTAACGCGAGTTCTTCTATTAGGATAATGGAGAGAATCATTCACAATGTGCTATGTCAATTTGTACCAATAAAACCATATAATCGTTTATGGCGTATGGCTGGCATGGCGAGAAGACAGGTTATTAATTTTGTGCAGACTGCGGATTGCTGGAATCCGAATGGAATACAAATGACACATTGGGCTGGGACTGAAGGATACGAAAGACTTAGAAATCACTTTCACTGACGGATCTGAAGAGCGTATCATCTTCCGTTTTGCTTACCTGAAAATAATGCTTTTTCGAGAAAAGGGTCATTTTTGCACTCTGTGAGGAAATGAAACTTGTCAGGTTCTTACAATGTTTGTGATTCAGTGATTTACATCGCCAGAAGAATCCTTTCTTTCTAGGTCGACCAATGTGGAAAGCTGAAATAAGAATTACAAAACTTGACGCGTTTTCTGTGCTATAAACTGTTCCTTTCTAGCAGCATTTTGGTTGTGAATTCTGTACCTTTTGTATTTTAATATTTACCTTTGATAAATTGATAGTTCTTAGTGGATGTGTAAGGGGAGTAAGCCAGCTGCTAAGGCTGTACAAGGCATATTTATTATTTAGTAGTTGCTTTCCTGTCACAAATGTCTCTCATGCGCATTTCATGCATCTGCATGGATGTCTTGCGTCTAGTGTTCGATAAAATTTGTCTATACTCTTCTTTTGCTTGTTACCTAGCAACAATTTAGCTAACCAGCTTGTTGCTAGGCAACAAGGGCTCTATTTTTTTATTTTTCATTTAGTGACCATCTCTGAGCAGGCTTGTGAGCGCGTGCCTTAGGAACGTGCGAGAACAAATCGCCCCCTGCCCCGCCTTGCTGAACCGGCTCTGGTGAGTAATTTATTTATTTTTATTTTACTGTAGGGACAATGTGTGATTTACTGTATATGTGTAGTGAAGCATTATTGTCCTTGCGTCAAGCTCCACATCTGGGTGACGTTGTTTGAGGCTTGCCATTTTCATTTTACTAATTTCCCTCCGGCGGCAGTCGTCACGTCACGTGCTTTGTCTCACCGGCATCAGCCTTGGGCATCAGTTCCGAGCCCGCAAGTTTTATGGCATGAGTAGTTTGTATCCACTTCGACCATTATTGTTGATGAATGAAGACCATTATTTTTAAGAAAATCAGTCCACATGGACCAGTCTAAAAAATGTGTCAGCACCCAGACGTGATGTTTGGGGCGGCTGGAATTCTGCTTTAAATAGAGCAGTTTTCCTTTGTACTTTGGCACCTGTGGCACCTGGGCAGCTTGATTTCTGCCCCCAAATGGGATATAGACTAGGGGCAGCCCAGACTGCAAAGTATGGCCATTTCGACGAGATCTCGTCGGTGCGGGCTTGTTCGGCTGGTGCGGATTTTGGAGTGGTGCGGTGCGGATTTTGCCTGGTGCAGTGCGGATTTGGCTTGGACCTTGATGCGGTGCGGACTTTGCTTGGTCTTCTTACCCGGCTGGGTTTCCTTGTTGACTGTTCTTTGGAAAGCCCTACAAATGCGTGCCAGCCACGGTGACGCACGGTGACGGAGAAAGGTTTTAAATTTACTCTACGAGCTAACAATTGCGGCAGAACAAATCCATTCTCGCCTCGGAAATTAACGTGATGACGACGTCATTAGAACGAAGACTGGTTGCGGTGGTGACTGGTATGTCACATTTGCGAGCAGCTGGTTTGAATTGCCAATCAGCACGCTACTTTGGAATGACGTCATTAGTTTTACTCATACGAAAGTTTGTTGGGGCGATTTTATCAAGGCTCGTCAAATTCACACGTGACATTTAGCATGTAGAAGGCCCACAGAGAGGGGAGAAGTTCCGAATGTCACGTGACCCAATATGCCCTCCGGCGCCCTATTGTCACCGGCGTCCGTCTATTTGCTCTATTTCAAACTTCCGGTACAAGTGGGCGCGGCCCCGTGGTGAGCATTGCTCGTGAAACTGAAATTGGAAAGGAAATAATTATAGTGAGATGAATGAAGTCCCTTGCATTTTAATTGCCTGTGGGTTCGGTGCGGATACTTTGGGCTCTCGGTTCGCTTTGGTGCGGATTTTCCGGCTCAGTTTGAAGGGTTGGTGCGGATTTTGAACTTGGGCCGGTGCGCCTCGTCGACCTGCGTGCCATACTTTGCAGTCTGGGGGGCGGCTTAGATCTATTGTGTTTAAAATATAACTTAAATCAGGTATTTATATGTTGCTATGTGTGCTAATTGAGTTGCTTGCGGTAATGAAATTTGGCCAGTTTTTTTTTTACTTAATTCTATTTTGATCAAGGAAACATAAAGCAGATAGTGTTCTGGTCAAATAAATATTACAGACTGTCTCTGATGATGATGCAGTTGGACCCATACTCCAGAATGGAAAACATCAGCACACTACGTTGGACGCCCGTGAGACCCTCATGCACCACACTTTGGTGCGATTGATCTTAGGCTGAAATTTCTGCATGATTTGCACCAAAACTTAGGTGCCTATTTGCGCCAAAATTAAGCCACCTTAACATAAAGTGTACATTATCGACCATGGCTATATCAACCATACAGAGCATTCTGGGGCCTTGGACGCTCTTCCATATTTGAGCATCCAAATTAGTTGGTTTCCATGGAAACCCAATACCACAATGCACGTAGTGCACTGTAGCGTGCCGTGAAACAAGGCCCGGGTCGGAAGTTCCGGGGTTACGAGATTCGGCGGAGCGGTGTGTTCGAGGCTGGCGGGCGCCGACGAGGACGAGGCAGCGGAGCAGCACGTGCTCCAGCACATCAGCCTCTTGTGCGGGCACCGCTTGTCCGGGCACTGCTGGCACGCCGCGGAAGGGAGACGGCCGATTCGGTGCACGTACTGAAGCGAGCGGCCCCAGTGGCCCGCCCTCATCTGGTGCACCGAAACGGCGTCCCCTCGGTCTCTCCGGCAATGGGGAGCCGCAAAGTGCTCCCGAAGAGTAACTTGAATACTAAATCGCACCAGTTGTCGCGCTATATTGACGCTAGGCCGCATAATGAACTGGCCGAGTTAGCGAGCGGGCGTCCGAGGGTAGTGCGGCCGCTTGTTTCGCCAGGTTGTCCGAGGGGTGTTCACGGGCACCGCAGACCGCTGAGTGCGGTGTGTGCAGTGTGTGCAGCAGGTGTGGGCGTAGGGGATGGGTAGGCGGTTCTGACGTCACGGCTGCGTGCAGTGGACGGTCCGCTGTGGCCAGTCCCGACCGGCCACAGCGGTCGCTGTGTGCGGTGACGGAAGGCTGACGTAGGGACGCAGTGGGCGGAGTTCGGATGCTGTGTACGGTCCGACCGCACACAGGACCCGTGAACAACCCTCCGATCTCTCATTTCCCTCGATCCCGCATTGGGCAGGAGCCCACTGCGGGATTACTCCACGACATCCGGAGATGTTCAACAAAGTCTTCCATGCCTATCTCCGCGCTAAGGGTGGAGGTCTCACCTGGAAAACGCAAGACGTTTCGGTGCCATGTATATATTACTAACGTTGTTTGGAGTTAAGACCTTTGACGAGTGTTGTATCCGACGGAATGTGTCCGTACAAGTTTGATGACCGTGGCGACGCCCCTGGCCCCAATCTCTGCCCACGCCCTGAGAGTCTGCCCCAACAAGATCTCATTGAACCCTGCCACATTTTGCAGACTGGGTCCTTGTGATCCCCTGGCTTGCCATTCTAGTCAGTGGTCATTGGTTATGTGTGATTTGAAGGTACTTTACCTGATATCTTACATCTAAGATGTCGACCAACTATCACACCTTTTCAATTCCTATTCCTATTTAACACCTATTCGCACATATTCAAACTAAATGATTGAATGGTTAGTATCATGTATGAATTCCCTCTGTATTTATTTGAATTTTGATGTATTGTTGTGTTTCAGGAAGCTCAGGTGGTGATCTCATAAATAAGTACCTCACAAGCATCTAAAAATGGTAAGATGGGATTTGTGTGATATGTTCCATTGGCTATATATCTGCATTGTAATTTCAGTGATAGGTACAGACTGGAATTATAGTCAAAGTTTCTCCACTTTGCGCTGCTTTCATCTATAGTGAGATGCATTGCTTCTTTTGCAATTACGGACACAAGAATCTCTACTGCATTCAGTTTTGTAATTAATTTTTATTTCTTAGATGAAGGTTGAATTGATGCACAAAACAGGCTAGCAATGCAACACATGTCAGTGTTCCTATTAGAGAATGTTGTTCTACAGCCTGATATTTATTTATTAGTATAATTGTTACAGCACAGCCTCTTGTGAATATCTGCCTCTCACTTCTCCCATTCCCCCCTGCAGCAGCCGCAAATTATCCTGCTGCGGGAGGGCACCGACACCAGCCAGGGCAAGCCGCAGCTCATCTCCAACATCAACGCCTGCTGCGCCGTGGTGGACGCCGTGCGTACCACGCTCGGTCCGCGCGGCATGGACAAGCTGATCGTCACCGATAACGGCAAGGCCACCATCAGCAACGACGGCGCCACCATTATGAAGCTGCTGAACGTGGTGCACCCGGCCGCCAAGACGCTGGTTGACATCGCGCGCAGCCAGGACGCCGAGGTAACCAGGGGGATGGGGAGGCGAAAGGAATTAATGTTTGAATTGAAAGACATTGACGGTAGCTTGCGCTATTAGGTTTTCACTCGTTTTATCGGCACCGATAATTTTGTTATGGCTGAGTCCTCATTGTTGTAAGTTTATTTTGATGGTGGCTGTTTTTACCTGTCAATATTTCTACTGTGGCTTCTCGGTTCCCGGACTTTCTATTTCGCCCCTCCCCGTCTTCCGTACTCTTCCTCCCACTGACCCCTCCCTCCCCTTCCCCTGCCCCCAGGTCGGAGACGGCACGACGAGCGTGGTGCTGCTTGCCGGCGAATTTCTGCGCCAGGTGAAACCGTACGTCGAGGAGGGCGTCCACCCGCAGATCATCATCCGAGCCGTCCGAAAAGGCACCCAGATGATGATCAAGCGTATCCACGAGGTGGCTGTCAAGGTGGGTAAACGGACGCCGGCACTGGTGCGGAGAGGAGGAAAAACGCAGGGGAGTGGAGAGCTATAGGCTTTAATATTAAGGTCATGGAACGGGCATATTAAATATGCGTGCCTAGTGTTCAGCTACTCTTATCTAATGGATAAGGAAATGCGAGAAAAAAAGGACTAAGTTGCGTGTGCATGACCATGAAATTGTGTATGAAGCTGGTATGGTTTTTCTGAAAGTAGTCGCCAGGAAAGAAAGGTTAATTGATTATGTATGGAAAACATGAAGTGTTTAAAGGTTGTGTGTGTGTGTTTTAAATATATTTCCAAAATCTCCCTAAATTACAAAATCTCCAAATGTAAATAGGGTGAATACGATTTCATGTATGCAATCGGCTTTGTTAACTATTTTGGCAGCCTAGTTATGTAGCCTTGTGTGAGATCAACAATAATTAAGCACATGACCAAATGCACGACTTTCATTGCACACACTAACCTCCTTCCCCTTCCCCCTTTGGACAGGTATCGGGCAGCAGCGGCGACGCCGAAAAGTACGAGCTGCTGCGCAAGTGCGCCAGCACGGCTCTCATGTCCAAGCTGATTCACCAGCAGAAGGAGTTCTTCTCCAAGATGGCCGTGGACGCGGTCCTGTCGCTGGACAGCCTGCTACCTCTCAACATGATCGGCATCAAACAGGTCCAGGGAGGCGCGCTGGAGGTGAGATGATGAGAGAGAGGGAGGCAGAGGGTAGAGCAGCGGAGGTGCAGGGAGGATAGAGCGGATCTTAATAAATTTTATGAGGAATGTTTGAATAGACGGATTGACAGAGCCGGAGACCACGCTGAGCAGATCTTTTTGCTTTAGACCCCGACCCGACCCGTTCGATCGCGCAATTCCAGGTAAGATGAGAATTTGAATGCCAAAGGTAAATGTTCTCGTCAAAGCCAGACACGGCCTGTCCCACTCAACTGACTGGCTGTGGCTGCTCCCACCAACCGCAGACCATCCCCGTCAGGAGTCTCAAATATCGAGCGCCGGAGCGACTCGAACCCGGCTTTCACTACCGGAAGGCCAAGGCTCTACCAACTGAGCTACGGAACAGATTCGTGTGCTGACCCTCAGACCGTCGTGTTCTGACCGTCCCTGTCCCTCCCCAGGACTCTGAACTGGTGGCCGGCGTGGCCTTCAAGAAGACGTTCTCGTACGCCGGGTTCGAGATGCAGCCCAAGTCCTACAAGAACCCCAAGATCGCCATGCTGCAGATCGAGCTGGAACTGAAGGCCGAGCGGGACAACGCCGAGGTCCGGCTCGACAATGTTCAGGTGAGGACTGAGACCTGGGCTCACAACGTTCCAACGGTAGAAAGAACTAGGAAGTTATGGGCGCCGATGACCACCGCAGTCCGAAAGCCCGAAATCATCATCATCATCATCAAAGTAGGTAGCTCAACTCGACAGTATTCAGGTCAGGGCGCCAGCGGAGGAGGTAGGGGAGTACAAGGTCAGAAATTAGCGGTCAGATGAGACTGTTATGCCAGAGTACGTAGCATGCCAGACCGTATTGAGGCTGTGCGTAAGTGTTGCATCGAAGGCGGGGTTAGTCAAGAAGACATGTGTGTTGTTTGCATTCACGAGCTATAATTGTGTACAAAGACCCTAGTGAGGTTGTGTCGTAGTGTGATGTCGAGGCAGGGTCAGCCCAGCAGTGTGTGCTGTTTGCTTTGACGAGCTATTGTTTGTGAATATATCTTGACTGCCGTGCCTCCACGTTTCCCCCTCAGGAGTACCAGCGAGTGGTGGACGCCGAGTGGGACATCCTCTACGACAAACTGGAGCGGATCCACAAGTCCGGCGCCAAGGTTAGAGGTTTCGTTCCCGACATAGGAGTGTCAATGCGTCAGGGAGGGGTACGTTTTAGGGGCTAGGTTGATGGCTGCGGGGATTTGTACTTACTGTAGACAGTTACAGTCGTCGGTGTTACAGATCATTGAAGAGTAATTTTCGTATTTGAAGCAGATATGCCGTACCTTGTTTGCATCAATTGAGCTGCTCTGAACTTTCACTTTATGTGCTTTTTTATCCCTTGAATATAAATTGGATTTAAGCTGTTCCATGGCCCAGCTGGCCATGGCCTTCACCGGTAATTCAGACTCGTTCTCCCCTGTGCCCCCAGTGACCCCCGTGTCCCTCCTCTCTCAGGTGGTGCTGTCGAGTAAACTCTCACCCCCCCCCCCTCCTTCTCAGGTGGTACTGTCCCGCCTGCCGATCGGTGACGTGGCCACCCAGTATTTCGCCGACCGCGACATGTTCTGCGCCGGCCGGGTACCCGAGGACGACCTGAAGCGCACCATGAAGGCCTGTGGCGGCAGCATTGTCACCACGGCGCACGACCTGGGAGATGGTGTACTGGGCCAGTGTGGCAGTTTCGAGGAGCGCCAGGTCGGCGGCGAGAGGTCAGTAGGGAGGGGAGAGGGGAGAGATAGGAGAGAGAGAGAGAGGTGGGCTGACGATCTTCTTCCTGAAACCCTTCGCAATACCCCATCCCGCCGTGAATTCACTCGTCAAGTCTGGCAGCGATTTGGGGCACCGGAGCCACCAACACTGCATTCAGTAGGGACCAAAATGGCCAACACATACCACACCAGACTACGAGTCGGTCTATCACATCTACATGCACATCTATATCAGTACCAACTTGCACAAAGCCCAGCATGCGCATGTGGACATCACCAAGAAGACACTGCACACTACATACTCCGGTGCCCCCTATATACACACCAAAGATCACTCCTCCTTAACGCGGCGCGAACAATCATACCAAACTTCGAAAACATTTCCTACAAACGCAAGCTTAGTGCAATCCTATTCGGCCATGATCTTACTGAGAACCAGGGAATCAGCATAACACATCATCTCCATGCATACATTGTACATACTCAACGCTTCAACACACACACAGCAATAACACACACACACACACACTACACAACATCGTACCCGATTGCTGCTGCCCGGGGCCCGGACACCTGGTGACTATGTCCGGAGGGCTGCTCGGCGGGCTGCTGGCGGGGCCGTCGTGACCTGTGGCCAGGTGGTTTTATTTTGCACTTAATTATCGTGTTAATATTTCCTTTTTTGTGTGTTTATTTGTGTTTATGTTTTGTGGGAAAGGCGCTTTGATTTAAGCATTTTGCTTTTGCGCCAATCCAAGATTATTTTCTCCGACGTTTTTTGTCCTTGGTTACCAAAATACACAACTGAACTGAACTGAACTGAACTAAACGATGTAAGTGGAAAGTGGAGGCGGGGGTGACTACCTATTTTGCAGGGAGGAGAGATGGAGATAGCTGGGAAGCAGAGAGGGTGGCTGGGAAGCCGGATAGAGGGCTATGATGTGTGGACAATGTTAAGACGAGAAGAAATAGGAGGGTGGGACAAAATGCCCTTTTTGTGGTACGTTTGCATAATGTTCGCTTTCAAACGTGTTTAATTGTGTGTCTACCAGCTGTGCCCTGTCTAATCTTCCATTCCCTCCCCATCAGGTATAATTTCTTCAGCGAGTGTCCTTGTCTTCTGGTTCAGACGTGCAATGTCTAACCCTCCCCGTCCACCAGGTATAACTTCTTCAGCGAGTGTCCTCTAGCCAAGACGTGCACTGTCTGACCCCCCCTCCCCCCCCCCCACCAGTTATAACTTCTTCAGCGAGTGTCCGCTGACCAAGGCGTGCTCTGTCCAACCCTCCCCCGTCCCTCCATCAGGTATAACTTCTTCAGCGAGTGCCCTCTGGCCAAGACGTGTACGCTGATCCTGCGCGGCGGCTCGGAGCAGTTCCTCGAGGAGACGGAACGGTCGCTCCACGACGCCATCATGATCGTGCGGCGCGCCATCAAAAACGACAGCGTTGTGGCCGGTACGTGGGGCGGGCGATCACTCTGCCGTACAAAAGAGTCAGGGTAGGATTGGAGCGCCTTTTGGTACGAGGGAAGATTGTTGGATATGTTTATCTGTTGAGTTAATGCCTTTTGGATATTTTATTTTCAACGAAGTTTCAGACGTTGCATTGTTATTAGTCAAATCGTATTCTGTTAGTAACCGATAAACTACATTGCCACCTATATACCTGCATGTTTTTTTTTCCAAATTTATGTGAAGCTTGATAAATGTTACTACTCGACATGCAAGCTACCTGGCTTATCCCTTCAATTGAAGACCCTCCTTTTTGTATCGGTATCATTGTAATTGGTCAGCACTCATCCAGTCCCTCTGCCCCGACTGACTAGTTCCTTCTCTCCCCCGTCAGGCGGCGGTGCGATCGAGATGGAGCTGTCGCGCTACCTACGCCAGCACGCCCGCACCGTGGCTGGCAAGGAACAGCTACTGATGGACTGTCTGGCGCGGGCACTGGAGATCATCCCCCGCCAGCTCTGTGATAACGCCGGCTTCGACTCGACGAACATTCTGAACAAGCTGCGGCATACGCACGCACAGGGTGAGGCGGCGGGCGGACGGCTGAGTTCAGCGGAGGGTTGGAGGGCGGAGAGCGGACGGTCTATGATATGCCTGGTGTTTGAGAACAGTTCAAAGACCAAGCTGAGTCAATAGATTTTGTCACCAATGCGTGTTTTCCCGAAGATAACATGACTGCATTTCACTTACGCTTTCTTATCTGTTGCGAACATGCTATCGGTAAAAGCACACTCCGTGAAAAACACTGGATTGGTATTCATCACAGTCATTAGTTGTCACATTTGCGCGGCGCCGTTTCGTTAGTGCATACAGCTGCACCGCACCAAGACGTTTCAATCTAGCCTTCCACCAGCTACAGTCAAGGCAGTAACCGGCACATTTCGCCAGCTCATTCGCTTTACCCTTCCCCTCCCTTCTATCCGTTCGCTGTCTTCTGTTCGCTATCCGCTCACTGACCCCCATTTCCTCCCTCCCACAGAGTCTGGTCTCTGGTTCGGCGTCGACATTCAGAACGAGGACGTGGCTGATAACCTGGCCGCCTGCGTCTGGGAGCCGGCCATTGTGCGCGTCAACGCTCTCACCGCCGCCAGCGAGGCTGCCTGCCTGGTCCTCTCCGTGGACGAAACCATCAAGAACCCGCGCTCGGGCGGCGAGGGCGGCCCGCCGGCCGGCCGCGGCCGCGGCAGGCCCATGTAGGCAACAAGGGTCACTAAAGGTGGGCCTGAGGTGCTGGGAGGGCCACGTGCCGCTTGGAGTGTCGCCAAGTGTGAGGAGCCACGTGACAGCACCCGGCAGGGGTCGTGGTACGTGGTCCACACGTCCAATCACGTGTCGGCAGTGTCCCGTGGCCTTAGGTGGCGATCACACGGGGCGCGCACGTGCCTCCACGTGCGGACGTGATCACGTGGCGTTCATGACTCACTCATCCGTCGTCCCGGCGCGGCATGACCTTCGTTCTGTTTCACTGACCCGTTTGATTTGCTGGTCGCTGGTGCGCCGACTCGGTCGCCACATGTGCTGTTCAATTGTCCCTTGATTAATACACTAGGACTAATGCGCAATCACGTTGGTTTGTCGGGATTAAGGTCAGAACGCTTGTACTGCTGAGTAGGATGCCGAGCTGGCAGGCACTAAGAAATATAACTGGCTGAGCTAAGGGGACGTTGCGCAATGGTTGTGCGACTAGCGTCGGACATTTTTCCTTGTTTGATTGCCGCATCAGATAGACGACTTCAAAAAATCCTTCCCATTTATTTGGCGATCGGTTTACAGCACTTGAATTACAATTATACACTAATGCGACATATTGTAGGCAATGGAAGGCACACAGTTTGTCATTTGATATCGCTTTACAATCCGTCCCTAGCAACTCAAACTTTCCGAATATTCAGGGACTTGGGACAGTTCTTTGAAAAGACCGTTGTATATTATCTCAAGTCGCATTAAAATAATCAAACAATCAAGGTTTCTTGTGTATCTCCCTGACGCGAGACGCTGTCCACTGCTTTTTATTACGTAACACAAGCGGTTCTTCTAAGCTAGGCGCCCCGCCCATGCCCAAACCAAATAAACCGCCAAAATGTCTGACATATCCGTAGGATTTCGGGCTAGAACACCCGAGAGATACACCGCTGATGTGAAATACATCCAGACAATGTTTCTAAACACCATGCACTACATTAATCGGTGGAATACTGCCGGGCTTACAAATTTAGCCATGCTGTGCTCGCTGCTCTAACCTACAAAATGCTTCCGTTAGTCATGCAATGCGCTAACATCAGTCGAATTTCATCAGATAAAAGAAGCACCTTCGCACACATCATTTCCGTTAAGGCACACCCGTCAGAGGCACTTCAAAAACATTACTAACTAATCTCAAGTAAAACGCCCTTCATAACCTCCATTAATTGCTCTCGTTCTCCCGTCATTGGCTCGCTGTTGCCTCTGTCCTTAATACTACATACAGCCGACCTAAGACGCTCCGCCGTTTGAGCGACCTTCTTAGTTTAGGCTTCGTTAACTCCAGTCTATCAGGCTCCAGTTCCTCAAGTAATGCCATCTTCATGTATGACGACAATCGGTTATCTCTGTCCGATCCTGTGATATGTATTCATTCTTGTCTGTTTGTCTGTCTGTCAGTCAGTCGTGTCCCTTGGTCCCATGTTTTTATCCATGTTTCCATCCTGCCTACAATCGGCGGATAATTCTCGTCGCTTGTTTACCGTCCAACATGTCCCACCCCACACTTCTAGTGTGTCCCTGGTCCGGTCCTGGTCCCTCAGTTCGACCCCCCGTCCCGCCTGTCACTGACGGGTCCTCTGCGCCGCCTCCACGTCGTCCCCCGGCGCGGCCGATGGCTGAGGCTCCTGTACCGCTCCCAGCCGCAGCAGGTCGAAGTTGTTGAAGCCAGCGTTGGCCGTGTTGGCGCGGCTTTCCACTGCTGCGTCACCGGCGCCTGGGGGGACATAGAGGTCACGGGAGGAGTCACGGCAGGAGTCACGGTCGTGACGGTTGTTACTAGAACCGTCACGGTGTCACTAGTGTCGGTGGTGGAGTGGAAATTGGAACAACAGTCACGGGGGTTGAAACGATTTAATTGCCAAGTGATGTAAGGGATGCCGCCCAGCGGTGGTTTACCTTATGTCAGAGTGTTGACAGAGTTACAATGAGTGGAACAGTAGGGGAGGATGTTTTGTCATCGTGATTGCTACAGATGCTGATTCATAGGCTGATAAAAACAAAGCGGCATCCAATGATGCATGCTCTGAACTTCGAGTTGGAGTGCCTTGTCTCATTGAAACGATCGTTTGCTCTTAGTTATCAGCACCCTGTTATTCAGCATTAAGCTCGATTTAAGGTTTCGCTGGATGATTGAGAAAGCATCAACATTACCCAAACAGGCGCGTCCTAAAAGTATTCGTGTTCTGTTTGTCAATATGCTGTCACGCTTGTCTTCCTCGAAGTTTAGAGAGTCGGCAAGGGTGAGCGACATTTGTTTACCGTGCCGCCAATGTTCCGTTACAGGGATCTCGTATCGAGTAACCAAGTCACTGCCCAGACGGACGTCTAGATAATCCCAATTCGCTCGTATCCAACAGCGCTGGTGGACTGTTGTCTGCCATCCTATTCGCTCCAGTGCCACCTTCACGTATCGGTACGGACCGGTTCAGCCAATTGCTAGTGGTTGGGGCGGTATTTTCCGTGACAAGCGCTGGCCGCTGTATCGGCATTGTCCTCTGACACACTGTACAAACGGCGGGACCTTGAATGGCGGAGGCTGGTGGTGAGGTGACGGCGACGTTATGGTGAAGGTAACGATCACGCCGATGGGCTTAGGAAAAGTTGAACAAGAGGCTGAATAAGGTATTGGTGATCGGAATTTAGACAGCCGTCATGAAGTCGGTTTAGCCGGTCTAGTTGGTTTGTTTGGGGTGATGCACCGTAATAACCGCAGATGTAACTAAAGTTATTTGATCCATATGTAGCGTGCCCCTTTACGGACACTCGGCGCCAAAAATGTGTCCTGTCCTTTTCTCTGAAATTTGACCACACACACGTTCGCGTATACTGTCCCTCAGCGTTCCCTATCCGGCACCCAGATATCTCACCATTTCCTGTGTTTTCTCACCGTTTCCGTTCTCGGCCCAGATATCTCATCGTTCCCTGTCTGTTCTCACCGTTTGCGGTCTCGGCCTGAATCTTCCTGAACTGGTCGAGCTCCGCCGCGCTGCACAGCGGGGTATCCACCTGGTACGTGCTGTTGAATCGGCTGTAGTCCACCTCGTATTTGCCCGTGTCACGCTTGAAGTCAATGATAGGCTCGAACCTGTGACAAAAGGGAAGGGGTGAGTACGTGAGAGATGGGCGGGTACGTGTGTGGGGCGGGGCGGAGGGGGATGAAGTTTGTGACTAGTGCAGCGCAACCAGAATAGATGCGTACGAGTGAGACCGAGCTGGTAACGAGAAACGAGAGATAACTGGCGTTATCTTTAGTTAATCCCGTAACGCTTCGGCATCGTATGCTCCATACTCATGTGTTGGCTGTTTATCGGCCGGCCGTCTCTCTCTCTACCTTATATCCTATTCACCTTCCAGGCGATCGTTAAGAGAGAGGAGACGGTCGACGAGGTAAGGAAATGAAGGTAAGTAAAACCAACGCATATGGTTGGAGGGGTGGGTGGAGGAAAACGCGCTCAGCAGCGACCGCTGCTGGTCCGCTTCACTCGCCCGGGCCGCGTTGAGTGGACCTCAGCCGTCCCGCTCACGGCGGCCCGCTGGTGACGTCACGAACCCTCCGGCGAGGTCAGGTCGGATCACCGCTCGACAGTGCCGGCCGGCGCGGCTCTAGAGGCCAACCGCGGATACGCGTTTGAGCAAGGATGCGGCGTTACCATTAACTGGCATTTGTAGGTATGCAGTAGCGTCCCAGAGCATGCAGTGACACAAGACAGTTCGGATTCCTTCAGCGATCAGCACGTCCTTCTCAGTTCTCCACGACCGATGGCCTGACCGGTGCGTGGAGAGGTGCACAAGTAACATCAAGCGAGACGCACCACGGTGGGAAGTGGCGTGAGCGGGGGCATAGTCGTTTGGAGAGCACTCGTGCCTCGTGAGAGTTCCCCAAACGGCCCTGCTCGTGAGTCACGAGTCCCTTTGCTTCCATTGTGTGCCTCCTTGTGCGGCGTGCACTTACCATTCGTCTGTGTCTTATGTATAATGCAATTAAATTAAAAACATAAACAGCATATATGCGCCCAGCGACGATGATGCGCTCCACGCTCAAGGCTGTCGCTGCCAAACTAAAACCCGCACTGTCCCGCTCCGTGCAGTGATGGAAGCTCCGCGGCGCGGTGATTGCGCTATTTCGTAATCGCCGTGCAGAAAACCTCTCCTCCGCGGAGGTGCCGGACTGATACGGCGGCGAGAGGCGCCACGGCTGTCTCCGCGGTTGCATCTAACAAACAAGGCCGCTCCTATCTGAGTCTCACTGCCACCCGCGGGCGCCTATCAGTGCTGTACAAACACACCGATTGGAGGGCGACAGACACTTGTCTCTGAGACGGTCGATAGCGGGCCGACCAATTGCGCTCAAATTGTCCCCTCTGAGCGGCCGCGCCGCGGCTGGGTCGTCCCACGCTGACTAGTGTACCTAGGGTTCGATGTCTGTCTTGATCACCCAGCTGACAAAAAGGAATAAGGCTGAACCGCGCGGGATAACTATTAATTACGTTGGATGGCATCGTTATCGAAATCATCCCACTCACACATGACATTACCCTACATCCACCGCGCTGTCTCACGTGAAGCCAAGGGGTTGATCTGCAAATGTCCTCTGTGTTATCCCTTCTCTCACCGTGATCCAAAAGTTTCCCCGTCTCACCACCTATGACCCAAGAGTCTCTCGCTGGGAATAAAGCTTCCCTACCCGTCTTCCCGTCTCGCCAACCTATGGCCCCAGAGGATCTCGCTGGGGATGAAACTGCTCCGCGCCCGGGTCTCCCCCCACCCGTCCCCCGTCTCACCCACCGGTGACCCCGGAGGATTCCGCTGGGGAAATAACTGCTCCCATGCCTGATACCCACGGCTCACCCACCTATGGCCCCAGAGGATCTCGCTGGGGATGAAGCTGCTCCGCGCCTGTGTGGTCATCGCCGTCGACTCGGTGGTGCCCTCGAGGATGACGACGATCTCGAAGCGCTCCTTATGGAGGAGGTCCTCGGCCGACATGTGGTAGAACGGGGACCTCTCGTCGATCGTGTGCACCACGTTCAGCGGCCAGATGAAGAAGATGCTGTCCTGGCCGTCATCAGGACCTGTGGCAGACAGGGAGGGGTGGTAGGGACCGGTTGCAAGGAGTCTGATTGATTTACGAGGCTTTTATCCGACATTGTTTGTTTTAACTATTTGCTCCCTCTTGATATTCCTCACCCTTTCCATACCACTCTCCCTCTCCCACTCCCTATCCCTATCCCTATCCCTCTTTCTCTCCCTCTCCCAATCCCTCTCGCTTTCTCTCTCTCTCTCTCTCTCTCTCTCTCTCTCTCTCTCTCTCTCTCTCTCT